CACCTTCAGAATGCTCGTGAACTCTAAAACAGTCTTGTTTCCTTTACGCACGCTACATGTCTAACACATTTTAAAGGACTTTATTTTTTATCCATACAATTACTATGTGAAGAATGCAATTATAAATATTCACATTATGTACCAAATAAGAAAGTCATGCGTTTAAGACTCCAGATTCACAATCAGGAGGTCCCAGGTTTAAAGCTCAGCCCAAAGACAACCTACATTAAAAGGTTTCCTAAATAACCCTTGTGTTATAATGGAACTTGTAATTTAAAGGGTCAACAAAGCAAGGTTCAGGTCATCTCAAAATTTAAATGGTGGTGAGAGCACTCCATCATTCCCACAGACTGCACTACAGCTTAGCTTAACACGTACTGATCACCTGGTTCTAAGAACATCAAACACACAATCCAAAATATGTTTCCTGATAAAAGGAAGTCAACTGGATAAAAAATTCTGACCTCTTAGGAAAAGATATGTAAGTTTTCCACTACAGAATGATCGGCTATATAAAGACATTTGTCTTCCGTATACTGACCATCAAGATAAGACCCTTGACCCACAAAAAATTAAGGTAAGGAGACTCAATTTCTTCACAGAGATAAAGAAGATGAACAGAAAAGAGACACAAGAACATGGACTCAAACCTACACAGTTCTTAGTAGGATTTGATGTTCTCATGGCGGTAAGTCCGAAGAAGGCTATCTTCTGTGTTGTTGCACCGTGTAATGTCACTAAACATCTACCAGACTACGCAGTACAATCAACCCAGAAGACAACCATCTTAAGACAGTAATCCTCAATCCTGCCTCCATGAAAACCTGACATCTCATCTAAATGCAGCACAACAAGTAGACACATATCAGAATGATAAAGATAAGGACCACTGTAAAAACTGAAGCTCGAATTACCCCTTGAAGGCTATAATGTATCTCTTCAGCCTGCTCCTGACATCTGCACTCAGTTCCTTGTGAAGATAGAAACACTTGCCACGAAAGAAATCGGGTAACTTTGGCAATGGCATGTTGGCAGTACTGGGCTGTCCTTCATCACTGTCCACATCTGTCTCTGCATCATATGGATTGGCAGCCCTGACCCTGCCAATACAATTGTCACAAACTTCAACGCAGCTGCGAAGGCCTTCTCCCCCTGGCAGAATGTTTTTTTCAAATTATTCAGGTATTGCATGAGCCATACCATTACAAAACATTATGACATCCAAATGTTCATTTCTTAATTTATTTAACGACACTTTCCCAACTATAGATGTCATATGTGAATAAAGAGTTTGGTCTGCTTCAGTGTGAAGCAGACATCTTAACAACTGACACGAGTTGTTACCACTTGCAAGGTTGCAGATTTAAATGTCAGATTTCTTTTTCACTAAAATTGGTAGCCGAGTTAATTTCTGTTCTTTATGAGCAACCAATCAGCTCAATGGACATGTTCAGAAAGAGTATCAGCATCCAAACTGTGCTGCTAAAAGTTTAGTGTTGTAACCTTGTTCTAAAATGGAGAAAAAAAGGTGTGGATTTGTACCGCTAAGTTCGTGACTTAATACAAGCTTCCTTGCCCCCCCCCTAACATTTCTATACTTCCACCTCAAGCACAGTAAATATGATTGGTACAAGTGTCAGAAAGCAATCCTAGTGAAAACATTAAGCAATATTAAATATCCACAGTCAAATGCGCAAATAACAGCTTAAAATAAGTCACAATTTCATTTCAATCATTATAACAACTAATGCTATGCAGCCCATGTAAGTGACAAAACATTCAATCGCCATCATCATCCTGCCGAGGATCGGGCCCTTGGCCAGTTCCGGACTGTTGCTCAGGGCAACTTGCCATATTAGTCTTTTAAATAAGGCAATGAAAGAGAATAACACGTGAAACTCAACCTAACCTCTCAATTTCATCCTCTGTGTCAGATCCAGACCATGGCTGCTCATCAACATCGCTCCCTCCCCCAGAGTCATGCTGAAGGGGTGAGTCAGGAACATCTAAACAGACGCACAAAAGCACAACGTCTTCTTGGCTAATAATAATCAGATGAGCCAGACAACTTCTATACGGTAACCAACAGCTAGAATGTTTAAATGCGTTCACGATGATAATTTGCGGGATAAAAACAAATAACATAAAGGAAACACAGAAGAACTGTTGCACACCAGAGAGTAAACTGGTCTAGAAGCGTACGCAGAGAATTCTTCTTACCAGAATGCTGGACAAAATCACACCACACAGGTAGCTAACAAATTCTTTGAAGCTGTGGTAAAATTAAAATATTTGGAATCACGAGTAAAGAGTCAAAATTTAATCAATGTAGTTAAAAGTTAGAAGCTGATTATATTAAAAAAATGTTTGTTACATTTTACCTTCTTAGACAACAAAATTGTTATTTTATTTAATGTTTCATATGAAGGTAAAAAAGTCTCACTCTCAGGAAGAATTTACAATCGCAGTGTAAGCTGTGGCAAATGCGTCCCACCTGCACTAGGCAGCAGCTCCGGGACCTCATCCTCGCTTTCCGGCTTTTTGTGGTCTTCCTTGCTGAGTGCAATAATTTAAAGAGTTATTACGTAATATAACGTAATACAATGTAAAAGAATCATAATAAAAATCAGTAAAAGGTAGTAAAACATACCGGGTTGTAAGTGATGTGTTGTGTGTCCGATATTAAGAGACGGTAGACTGCAACTGAGATGTGTGTGTCGCGTGTGGTTATATATATTGAGTGAAAGTTGTTCAGGGGGTTGGGTCGATGAACTGTAGAGCATTAAATATCGGGTTGTTTGTGTAGATGTTGCTGTCATTTAATGCAATATTTTGTTTATGTGTTCTTTGTATATGGTATTTTTCTACTGTGTCTCTGTGTCGTTTGTTTTGTACTATTTTTATAATGTCCATTGTTTGTTCTATTTTGTTGTATGCATGTCCAGTATTTAATATATGTTTTGCGTATGCTGAATAGCTGTCTTCTGGGTTGTTGCGCTATGTGTGTTGGTATAAGTTTACCGACGTTTTACGGGTGTTTCTTGCCTCCATCATGAGGGCGATCTGTAAGTCACTCATCGCCCTGATGATGGAGGTAGAAAGTACCTCACCAGACTACACAGCGCAACAACCCAGAAGACAGAAATCTTCATACTCATCGCCCTGATGATGGAGGCAGTATGACCTCTGAAACGTTGGTTAACATCGACCAGACTACACAGCGCAACAACCCAGAAGACAGAAATCTTCATCAGTAGCTGAGTCATGAAATGAATAACAGTGATCCACGTATCCACTTCAGTGCAAGAAGGTATAGCAAATTATCATAACGTAAGCCTTCTTATTGTAAACGCTGTATTAAAACCGAAACTGTGATTTACTATACGTGGAAAAGCATGCAAAATATCTTTTCAAAACACAATGAATTTCTCAAATGATTCACGTATCTGTGACTGTTCTCAGATACTGCACCACTAGTCTCACTGAAACTCACCGACGTATAAGGGGTGAGGCATAAAAAATTGTAATTAATGGAGGGTACAGACAAATAAAAAAAAATTACAAACAACTAGAATTATGACGCCAGGCGCAAGCTTCCATCGCTTCTGGTTTCGGAGTTGGAAAACTTCACGAGTTTGATTTTCGTTGCATAGAGTGTAGAAGTAGCATCAATGGGATGGAAAAGTGTGGTGTTTCTATAAAATTTGTGCAGCCCAAGGAACAATCCCAAAGATTATAAAATAGATTAGCTAATGGAAGTTAAGAAACACAGCACTGTAAGGGAGCTACTGAGAATTACAGAACAATCTTAGGTAATACACGATGTAAGGCAATGTCAGAATCGGGCAGCATGAAACACGGAGAAGGTGGCAGCTTCTCTGTGAGTAATGGTACGCGCTGGAAATGGTGGAATTCAATCGACATCTACTTTAAAAATTAAATGTTACTATTTATAAATTTCCAAACAAGAAAATGTATTTGTATGTATTAAGTGTAATCAAATTTCTTATAAAGTCCATATGGCTTTATCAAGAGCTATAAAGACTTTAAAAATTTCTGTCTTCAAATCTGTGGTACGCAGATTTCCTGAGGGCATCCAATTTCAGCAGAATGACAGTCACCTTCATCATATGCGGCTATAGAAGACAGTGCTAACAGCGTTAAATAGAACTTCCGTGTTGGAAAATTATTGAGGTCATTATCCTATCCAGACCACATTCATCGCTACTACAAAGAGCTTATTAACTGAAGTGCGACGTCTTTATTCCTGTATGTCCCTTTGTCCCTAAAGCATTCCGAATTATCACTATTGATCAAAAGTAAATAAAACAGTAATAAAATGCAGTACACTTTCTTAATGATCCAGTTTGCTGCATGTTACACTAGTACACTGCTAAACCGTTAATCATGGAGCTAAAGTCTCACGAGCAGCCGCAAAATACAGGGATTTAAATCCCTTAATCCCACAAAATAAAGGTTAGTAAACATTTTAAAAAAATTAAGAAGACAGCCATCTTCAGATTCATGGCCATGAAAACCTCAAATCCTGCATTTAAAAGAATTAATGCACAACAAACCATTCTCCACATCCTGCCACAGCCATACCATAAAAACTGGCGAACAGATGTTCTTCTGCCCTACATAAAATCGCAAGCGTCAATGATACCAACCTTCTCCACGGCAATCGTTTCCTCTTGCTGTGGCAGTTCTCAATCCACTCCTTCTGCACGATATGCCCTTTCCCCCAGACCTGCTGAAACTTTGGTGTGTTAGGAAACGCACACCTGAAAACACCAGAAACCACACATCACATAGCGCCACGATGGTGTCCTACAATTTGGGGTAAATATAATATCCAAAACATCCTCTGTGAACATCATTGGCTCTAAGTTCACTTACTGCAGACGTGAAACTACACGGAAAGACACAAAGTTATAATTTTTGAAAAGTTCCCACTCTTTCACACAAAAGTGAAAATTGAATTAATAACAACAAAAATATTACAGTAAAATCCCCATTTAAGTAAATTCCAGCAGAACAACGTTTAATACAATAAATGGGAGTTATGCAAATTCAGTAAGAATAAAGCACCAAACATTACAATTTTAAGAAGTGTCAAGGTACACAAAAAAGATGGGATTACGAAATGTCATGAAATTTACCTCCAAGCAGCTAAAGTTCCTTTATACCTTACAGTGCTTAAGCAGGGGGAAAACTTTACTTTCACCTTTCTATGAGGTTCGGAGGTAAGACTCCATGAATTTTAGACCACGGCAGAACATGGCAAGAGATCAACTTCATGCTTTGATCACAACTTTCCTGAGGAAACAAATCCCAAAACCAATTTGATATGAGGCTGTGCGCAGAGCTGTCCTTAGGGGAGCCCCAGACGCTATGCTGTGTTCTTGGCACACTGACAAAGTACAAAATATTTTGTGCACAGCGACATCTTTTGTGCCCCAGATGTAACAACGTGACATAAAATATTAAAATATATCAATTTCAATGTAATCCCAGATCAGAAATAAGTGTACACTCTTTAATAAATATACAGTTTGGTGCCAGTAATATTAAAGTTACAGGTTACGGCCACCCCCCCCCCACACACACACACACGCATCTTAAGGAGGGGTTGCACAGACTGCTTTGTCCTGGGCCTGATATCTGCCTCGAGGCAGCTCTGGTTCGGACACCAGACATCGTCTGAATGAAAACGGATAAACTAATGCTTCTGCATAAAACCAATGCAGTCATTTCAGTAACTTGCTCCTTCTGAGCCTTCTAGACTGAAGATGTGTGATACTGACACACATTCCCCTCCCTCTTTCTATACCTTCTCCCCTATTTCTCCAGCTTCACTACGCTTGTGCCAACTCACACCAGATGTGTGCATGAGCTATCCCAGTCTGACTTGTAGCACGCCCCCATCTCAAGGGCCATGGTGCGCAAATTTGCACGGTAGGGATTCTGGTAACCACTGATGACGAGCACAACGCCTTCTAGCAGCTGCCTGAACGGTTTTCCAAGAAGTCTGGGTTTCTTTGTAAGAGGCTCTTCCTTCTTTCTGGCTTTCTTCTTGTGCTGTTCTACAGGAACATAAAACTTTGATACACTTGCGGTCCACTGCATATATTTCGGAACATTTATTCTTACTTTTGTATTGCATGGCATGGCATTAGGGTTCAGTGACACGATGCGCTTCAGTCTTGCTCAGACAACATTTTAACACAGATTAAATAGTCCCAGAATGATTTATAAACATCATTTGAAAATGTTTAAAATTTTAAGCATCTGGGAACAACGATAATAAATAGAAACAAGGTCCATCATGAAAATAAGAGTAGAATATGTACGGGGAACGCTTGTTTTTATTTCATTCAAAAACTGTTATCATCTTGTTTACAATCCAAAACACAAAAGATCAGGATAAATAAAACAATAATTTTGCCTGTTGTCTTGCATGGTTGTGAAACATGGTGTCTCGCCTTTAAGGAAAAATGTTGATTACAAGTGTTTGAAAAAGGTGCTCAGGAGGATATTTGGACCTACGAGGGATGAAATAAGTGGGGAATTTAGAATACTGCATAACGAGGAGCTGCGTGAATTGTACGGGTCACAGACTTAAAACCAACTGCATGTCAAACGAAACAAAAACAAATGGACTAAAAGTAGCCTGGCTACATTCAGAGAATCTGTAAGAGAGCCGTTAAGTTGACGGCCACTCAGAAGGACATGGAATTCTTAGACAGGTCACATTGAAAGAAGGAATATCAGGGAAGTGTTCAGTGTCTGGAAACAGACGCATTTCTGCAGTAAACAAATGTGACACTTGAAATGATTCAAAATGAATAATAAACTGGTAACCTTTTATGACAACGAGCCATGTGCTTTATTTTAAGAATATGCATATAGAATTAAAACAATAACCCTATTACTGTGATAAAATCAGACTCGTTGTTTGGATTACTGTTAAAATTAATGCCAAGTTTACAAAAAATAATCTGCTTTCAAAGATATTAGGTTATATGCAACTAGCTTCTTAAATCTATGCGATTACCATAATTCTGAAATGATAAGATTCATATTAAAATTTTTTCAATATGATACCCAAATTAAGTTCCATCAATTTTAAAATGTTTCATAATTCTGTATGGGCTACTTTATAGAGTTCCTGCCACTGACTAGTTTTAACTTTCGAACCAGACGATCTCACCTGAGCACTCACCTGTTGCCTTCTGACTGCCATTACTGCAAGAGACCTGTTCTTTCAGAGGCAGACGTTCCGCCTTCTGTACGAGTCTGGGTCTTGCAACGGCGACTGGCGACGAAGCCTTACTGACAGATACTTCTCCAACATTTGCCAGTCTGCGCTTCTGAACGGCAGTTGGAGATGAAGCTTCACGGATTGCTGCTGCTCCTACATAAATTAGTAACATTTGACGTATAAGATTTAAACCCTCCACAGCTATGTAATTTTATAAATTCTCGTACGACTACGAGCCATGCCAGGTTAGCAAAACAGTGGCATTATTCTGTAAATTCTAGCTGGCCATAAGAAACATCATATTAGTGGTCTTATCTGAGAAACAATCACTATTTCATCCCATAACACCACAGCAAAGATAACATTTCCATTTTTTATACATATTGGCTCCTAGTTCTTGGGGGTGCCTCCTAAATTTATGGGAAATTTGAGCAGGTTTTGCATCATGGACCTTCCTTCTTAGTGATGGCACCACACAAAAATAGTCTACACTGTCAATTTTCACAAATTCTTACTGTCTCCACCTTCAAGATTAACTAGCCAGTCACCTCTGCTAACACATGGATCTGTGCTTATATAAGTATCAGCAGGGAACATGTGTAGTCACATTTCTTGAACATGGAGATGGTAAGATTCCTTGAGATGTCAGAACACAACCCACTTCTACGTGGTACCATCACCCGGGATCAACATTAGCAGTGAACTGCGATCAAAGCCAGAAAACTAATAGATCAACGTGGCAAGATCAATTCTTAATATCACAACCTGAATACAATACACTTTTAAAAGTGGCAAGATCAATTCTTAATATCACAAACTGAATACAATACACTTTTTATAGTTAATATGACTGAAAAAACTAGCATTAGCTCGTAATCTCTAAACTTCTAAGCAGTCACTCTGAACCAAAATTTGTCATGTTACTTTCAGTGTAAACCCTCTGTACCACCTGGCATTAATGTTTTAGTTCCTTTCTGTACACTTGATTAGCCGTGATAGCTCAGTCGGTATAGTGACTAGATACAGGCTGGACGACTGGGGTTTGATCTCCGACGGGGGCACAGGAGTTTTCCTGTAGCCTCTGCACCCAGATTGGCTCTGGGGCCCACCCAGCCTCCTCTACAATGGGTACCGGGGTCCTTTCCCGGGGGTAAAGCACGACCGGAATTTGATACTGACCACTCACCCCCATCTAGTACCAAGTCAAGAATGAGTAGGAGCTACACCTCCACTCCCAACCAAATGACAAACATGGCATGTACTGGGACTGTTTTACTTTGCTTTTACACAACACTTGATACTGTAAATACCTCAGATTATATAGCATCAAATAATAAAATGATCTAGTGATGATGAATTTTAAAGAATGTTAAAATAAATGGTCACAGCCTAATTTAAGATACTATCATTACGTCTGCCTAGTGGGACTGCGGAAACCCCCCCCCCAAAGTTACGGTCGCTGGTACCTTGGCTGAGATCTGAACTTGAACATCCCAACATTAAGCAGGAGTGCTAACCACTTGGCTGCATTTTGGTCAAATGTAATTACATTACACCAGAGATTTGGGGGAAAACACAGATTGACACTTGTCAATTTCGCATAAACTCTGCAGAAAAATACACCTACAAGTCAAGAAATTATATTTCTATGCGGAAAGGAGACACCAATCAGGTCTGCCACAACCACATAAAGAAAACAGAAGGTAGGAATGAGTGAAGAAGAGATAAGTGTGAAATTATAACTGGGATATAAATCTTTCCAGTATTGATTACCACATTCCACAGTCTTGAAATTTAAATCTCTTATTGTTTTGCAATAAATCATTACTTCCAAAGGAATTCTTCATTATAATTTTTAAAAATTCATATAAAAATCTTTCACTTCTCCTTAGGTGAAACAAGCCAATCAAAATCTTGGCATCTTCACAGGGAAGAAAGAGTTTTTCAGTTACACGACATTCATTCATATTTTCATAACCAAATGGCCCAAAAGACAAGCTTCTCTCATAAAACACCGATCAGACAAACCTGACAGGTTAACGAGACACACCAACTGAACTGAATGGTTTGATAAAATGGTAGCACGTCTGCCTCTCATTAGAGTGGTATCTAGTTCAAATCCAGACTCGACAAAAGCTGTTATGACGAGTCATCTTATGTTGTTCTTGGTTCTGGCACTGTGTACAACTGCAGGTCTATACCAACATTTCATAAAAAAAAATATTGTGCAGAGACGGCGATAGTTTTTTTGGAAATGCTGGCATATACCGAGCCTACACAATATGAATACCCAGAAAAAAAAACATCATCCTCACTGTCATAAAAACCTCAAACCTGACAAGACTATTTTATTTCACATCCCTCCAGTTCGCCATTAAACTTGTCGTGCCATAGCTCATTACACTCTACACAACCATAACAGTTGATAGAGCATTGTAAAACAATACATTTTACATAAAACACATTCCACATAACAAAGTCAATCACAGGAATTGCGATCAGTCGATCTGAAAGTTTGATTTCGTTGCGTGGAAAAATCAACGATCATTCTAACTTGGCGCGATATCGACGGCCAGTGCTTGAAATATGTTGACGCTACAGATCAAGAACAGTAATAAGTCTGAAAGAGAAACAGACAGGATTAATGTTATGCGTTCCTGGCCTACACTGAATAAGGAATCGATTAAACCAGGCGGAGAGGTTCACCTTTCAGAGGCTGGGATTCAATATCTTTCCGTCGAGCAAACAGACTCCCTGCGCTGATGGAGTTTGGCTCTTCGGCGTCATCCTTCACGACGAAACGACCGAGTCTGCTCCCCAAGGCAGCGGGCTTATCGTCGGTTATCACGGAGTGGAACGTGATGAACGCCAGACCATACTGAACGTGCTTGTTGAACGGTTGCGTGCAGATGACTTTCACTCTGTCCCACTTCTGGTCTGCCACCGACTTCGATAACGCGTCCACCGCAAACATACGTACTCTACTGGGATTACTACCGCTGCGCGCCTCCAGCGGTGACATGAATGATGATGCAACCAACAACACCTAATCATCATACATAACTTTAGTCACTGATAAATAGTTGAAGGTTAATTTGTTTTATTTACAGTTTTAAGTAAGGTCAGTTATATCATCTCAGGAAAAGAACTTTGAAAGACAAACTACAAGGCAGATGGATCACATGTGGCAAGACTTAAACCTATTAGAATAAACCAGTGGACACTGTACAATTTCTCAAGGCACATCATAAAGATTTATATTCATAATTAATATGACATGCCTTATTATATTCATAACATTGTAATGAACAAGTAACAAGTTCAAACAAAGGCAATTTTGCGAAACTGCAACTCTGTAATTCTGTCCCCTTCTGTCTCCTGAGTGCTGCAGTTATAAACATTAGGAAATAGTCGAAATTAGTGTATTTTTTGTATACAATGAAAAATACTCCTGACACAAAAAATTAATAAATACTTATCAATAAAACCCATAACCCATTATTGCGTTTTAATTTTCTCTTCTGGTTCAGAGTGAAACATAAACTTCATTAACCTCTGTACCACAGTAACTTTCTTCCATCACTACAAAATCTTTTGAAATGCTAAACTGACCACACGACCAGCCATTACACAAAGCGAGATTACAACTGAGCAAAGGCTGCAAACATTGGGACAAGGGAGAGAGTACAATTAGCACTGGTTTCATAGGAGAGTGATGGTGAAATGATGTTATAAAATAAATTTGTAATTACTGATACTACATTTGTGTCAGGTTTCAGAATAATGAAGTACTTATTATGTGATCTCTCTCTCTGACTTCCCAAGGGGCAAGTTATAACCTACATTTCGAGGCTGTAACAACAAGAAAATAAACTCATATGTTTTCAATAATAATTCCCATCGTAGTACCTCAAAATCCTCATCAGGTGTACTTGATCGACCAACTAAAACCTCAATAAAAGCACTGTTTCCATTTCCAATATCGATAGAATTAATGATGGTTTCTTTTTCAAGCTGCAGAATGACAGACGCATGCTTCTCGCCTACGTTCTTACATTTCCACGTCTTCTTGTCAGCGTTGATGAGGTTCGCCACTGGGTGATTCTGTTGAAATCGAGAAATGTCATAATCACCAGCTAGGTTAGGTAATATAAATACTTCAGTACGTAACGATGTATCAAGAAGACTATTATACTTACCGGATCTTCGCTGCTACAACTCAAAATCCGTTCAATTTTAATTATCGGCATTGTCTATACATGAATATCCTTAAAAAATTAAATACAGTGAATTCTTCCCGCGTTAGTATACGAACTGCAGCACAACACGTCCCTAGGAGTGCTTTCGGAAAATTTTCGATCGTCTGTCACATAGTTAGTATACGAACTGCAGCACAACACGTCCATAGGAGTGCTTTCGGAAAATTTTCAGTCATCTGTCACATAGTGTATATTCTCTCTGGTAAGCAATTTCTACGAAAAAATGCAGAACACTCGTTTTAAATGAATGCGCGCTTTCATTCGCAACTTACTTTCTATTTTCATTGTTTTAATGGTTGCTATAAATAATAATGTGTATTAATTACTTTTCTATGCAAAAGATGATTCGTGGTTTGGTACGCTTGCTTCAAGTCGTGACGTGATATTGGTCACACTGAAAATGATTTTAGGTTCTCACAGCGGCGAGTAGCAGCTGTAGAATATGATTTATTTACATACCATGGATCATTCATAGGCTAAGCCAAGAATGTAGAATACACCATTGCACAAATACAATACTTGTTTCTATTACAAATATAAATTGCATAGTTATGTAGTGCCGTGTAGTCTCAAAACCTGTTCATTTGACTAACTCTGTCTTTTCTTTGGGCAGCGGCCCTAACCAGGTGCTACCCACCGGGGCAGTGGGACCTGGAGCTCACTAAGGGCAGGGGCGACTACTCCCTGGAGAGGGCTGCCTCTACGAGAGTCCCACTCTGTTACCCTATTTTTTTTTTCTTGTTAGTTTTAAGTCGTCGTCTCTCGCCAAAAGCTTAGGGCTATCAAAAGCCTTCCGTAAGCATGATTTGGAAACCATATTAAGGAATAGATTTCTTATAAATGACTAGGCCTATAAGAAGTAACATAATCAAATATCACTGTAAAAACCAATGTTTGTATTCTGTGGAAATAAATGCACACAACAATATTAACAAACTCAGAATTACTGTATATGCTTTTTTACATCAAGTTTATTAATATGTGCCAGATTTAACTCAGAGAAAATAAAAATCTTTTTATTTTCATGCAAACTACATAATAAAGGTGCGTGATTTTATTTGACGTAAGAACCGCCGATAAGTGACAACGAGGCCACACCGGTTGAACCTCCGTGGCCTGTCCGCGCTGATCTGGAGTTCGTGACGTCTTTTCCGATGCAGGTGTGTCCATCTGTTGACGTTTCTGGAAAATAAACCGCCCATTTAGCTTACAGAAATTCCAGCTACATCACTTCTACTACATTAAATGTATAAACTATCCCCTTTATCCAACACCATTTCGTATATTTCATTTTACCAATGACGTTGGACAAAGTTGGTTCTTTGAATTTCATATGACATTTTTCCTTGCACTTTTTTTAAACCTAACTTAAATTGGACAAAACTGTACCCTTTCATTTTTAATTAGGGTAAAACTGAATAATTGCATTCTATGCGTACGCTGTCATCTGAAAAATATTAATCCTTGCGTTTCATCTGCAGGCTCCAAAACTGTGATGTGGAAAATATGACTACGTGCAGTCTATTTATGTGGATTAAACCACAAACTCGAATTCTGAACGTTTATTCGTAATCAGTTGAGGTTAAGTGCTCTACTCGGGGTTCTAATTCTTAATTACTTTAGGTTGATTACTTATTATGGGTATGAGCCGGGATAGCTCAGTCAGTATAGTGACTAGCTACGGGCTGGACGGCCGGGGTTCAATCCCCGACGGGGGCAGGGGATTTTTCCTCTAGCCTCTGCGTCCAGACCGGCTCTGGGGCCCACCCAGCCTCCTCTACAATGGGTACCGGGGTTCTTTCCCGGGGGTAAAGCCGGCCGGGGCGTGATGCTGACCACTCACCCCTATCTAGTGCCGAGGTCAAGGAAGGGAGGAGCTATACCTCCTCTCACCCCAAACGCCTACATGGCGTATAGTGGGACAAACTTTACTTTACTTTATTTTACTCATTATGGGTAATAATACTGCAGTTAAATTTTTATTTATCTGATTAATACCAAGATTTGGATTTTAGCTTGGTACAGTAATACGTCATACTTTTACGCTTGTCATCTGCAAAACAAAAAGAAAATTTAATTAATAAGTATTTCCGACAACCAAATAAAATTCGTATATTGTTTGCTGAATTATCACGAAGGGAAAAAAATCTCACATCCTCGAAACATTACCCATGTCGATTAAAAACCAATACACGAAGTTTAAAATGTCGTCACAGGTGGAATGTTTCGTAAATGAAACTACACTACAGAAGTTGACGTAGATGAAGTTTGTTTACCGGACAAAAGCACATGAGCATCATCGATTAGAATACTACATAATTACGTGAAAATAAAAATAAAACTGGCAAACATTAACTTCAGTTTAACTCAAGCAGTTATCTAATGTTGAACTCTCATTAGAATAAAAATTACGCTCAAATTTCGCAAAATTATCAACTAAAAAGTACAGTATTTAAATAAAATGTTTCTTGGATGTTATCCATCGTCTAATAAAATAATAAAATTGAACGACGTTTCGGAGATGATACTGTCTTCATTTTCCTGAAGGAAAACTGTAGTCATTTGATCCAAGATGCATCCTAAATTGTGATAAATTAATCGCCAGTTTCATTTCCCATTTATAGATTTCAAAAATCATCGACGAAAAACCCTCGATAATTGAAACAACAGCGAGAAACTAAAACTCAAAGATGGCTGCCTTCTGGTTTGTAGCGCCTTGCAGTCTGGTATAATTTTACCAACGTTTCGATGGTATTTGCTACCTCCATCATCGGGACTATGACTCATCACTATAATTCAGAAAACTGTGATCTTCGTACCAGGGCTGTGGAGTCGGTAAAAATGTACCGACTTCGACTCCGACCTCGATATAAAATCTTAAGAACAATTTCTATACCGTGTGGCCTCACTCTTAGGGAGATTCTACGACGCGTTGAGCCAAAAGGTGTGGGAATAATGCTTGTAACTTTGACTAAGAATGCAAACTGTCTACAAATCAAAGATTTCTGCAATAACCATTAGACGTATATTTAAATATAGGTTATAAGTCTAAAAAGTAGCCTGATGATCCACGTGGTGGTGGTGATGAAATCTCTTGTGGTGCCATTTGCCATCTTAGTAGGTTTGCTCTTATTAATACATATTGGAAGGAATGTCTGAAGACCGTGTGGAGTGACGTCAAATGTTAAACAATTCTACAATGAGGTCACACATAAATTCCTCATTATCGAAACAGAAGTTTAGATAAAAACCTAACCTAACCTGACCTAACCTAACCTGACCTAACCTGACCTAACCAAACCTATCCTAACCTAACCCAAACCTAACCAAACCTAACCTAACCTAACCAAACCTAACCTAACCTAACCTAACCTAACCTAACCTAACCTAACCTGTTTTCATATATGTCTCTCATTTTCGTCGTGGGTACAAACTACAGAAGAAAAAGGCGTCTGTAAAGAACGTCTGGGAAACAGTGATATATATGGACCATGGAATAGTTTACAACCTGCGTTACTTCAGAGCGTC